TCCCCTCAGAAACAAGCCAGAAACCCGAACTTTTTTTTTACCATAGACACAGCTCACTAAGAGCTGTAAGATGCGCGAAACCTCGACTGAAAAGCGCTCTAGCACCTGGGAAGGTTCCCTTGTAAGAAGACTTTCTCGGCCTTATTTTTAACAATACCATCGTAAAGAGCACTAAATCCTGAAAAACAAACGGAGGATCGTTGTGTTTTATACGTTCTTTACTTAAAAAAGTAGAAGCAACATGAAAGTCGAAAAAAACATTTTTTAGTTTGTTTTAAAATTTTATTAACTTCTGTTTTTTTGTTATGCCTTCAACTTTTTAAGAGAAGATTGCAGAAAATTCAGTAACTCTTTGTAATTCAGTTTAGGATTTTGTGCTCTTTATGATACATCGTTAAAAATAACTCCGAGAAAATCTTCTTAGATCTGAAAACTATATTGAATGATTTTTTAGAAACTATATCATCATAGTTCATCTATAAAAACTTACTATACAGTGAAATTGAGCTAGTTGCTGAACATAATTAAAAAAAAATAAAGATACGTTGTGATTAAACTTTTTTCCATGACTATATATAGAACAAGTGATTGATACTATGCAACTATCAACTTTCGATATGGTTCGATGATCAAAGATAACATAGTGTTAGGTCTTTATCAGATCAATCGAATATATTCTTATAGACTAATAATTTCCTAGGTAATTATTTAGACTTTAAAAGCATAAACTTACCAATAGGCCATACATATCCAACCATATTTCTATTTTTGTTTCATTAAATTGAAGATTTTTATTTTGAGGCCATTTAACCCAAATATCATCTTTTTGTCCTTCTGTAAAAACATCATAACTTGGTTCTTCAGAATCAATAGCTGGATCAAGAATTGTAATAAATCTCATTCCTTGTGTATGTAACCAATCAACATATTCTGGTAAACCATTAAAACAAACTGGATCCCAAGTAAAATCAAGTTGATTTCGAAAATAATCAATATCACCATACCTAAAACAATAAATAAAGCAAAATAAAACAATCATTAAAACATTGTTTTTTTCGTACATAACATCAAGTGGAATATGTCCATCTAAAGTTCTTTGCATAGCTGCACGCATATTATCAAGTGTATCATAACCATAACGACAAAGTTGAAAACCTAATGACCAATATGGTGGCATATAAGGATGACCAATAACAGATTCATATTGTCGAATAACATCTTCGGGACGTGGTCCAGCAAAAAATAATATATCTAAAATACCTCCAAGTGTTCGATATGTAAGCATCGATTTATTATCTTCAAATTCATCTAATTTATAATCTTGTGCATTTGAATTAAATATTAAAACACCAAATGTTTGTCCATCTTCTTCAATAGCAATATAAAATGGTTGTGTACCATATAAATTTTCATTTTTTCCTTGTGGTGGTTGATCACGAGCAAATATACCATAACGAGTTGAATTTGAAGAATATGTTGAAATGTTGGATGAGTATTTTCACCAAAACCATAAACATTTCTTGATGGAATTGTTGTTATAAATTGAATATATTTATCCTCATAAATAAAACCTTCAGCAAAAAATGATGTATCAAATATAATTGATTGTGTATCTGTACGTTTTACACGAAAACCAACTTGTCCATTTATTGTTTTTGTCATTTCAAATTTTATTTTAGCTTTAATAGATGATGCTGGTAATGTTGCTTGCCATCGTATTGGTACAGGAACTTCATAACGTTGTTTATCAGCATCACGAATTGTTAAACGTATCATATCAGGACCTGATACACTTACTTGAACATTTAAACGATCAATATCTTCACCATATAATGAAAATTCATTTGATTGAGTTGTTACAAGTTGTTTTATATTTGATATTGATTCATTCAATTGAATACGACTATGTGGATTTGCTCGATTACGAAGAGGTTTTGTTGATAAACGTGATCATGAATAAGATGTAACAGCATCTGTTAATTGTATTGCTGTATCATTTTGACCATAACCACCTTTTTCTTTTGGTACATAACAAGCTGCATAACCAGATTCACTTGGAACATTCCAAGTGCATCCACGAGCTTCACAAGCATTACTTATAGCACCTATATATAGAACGGAATACTGTTTAAAAAAAATTATCCAACTATTTATATTGTATAAAATATAGTTTTAGTAATATATATTTTAATTTATAAGTAACAAAGTGCTATTATTCTACATTGATTTATTGCAATGAAAGATGTTTTAATATAAGTGACATTTCTGGGTGTGATCTCGTATTTCTATAAATCTTACATGACTAGAGAAATGAGGATAATTTTTTTAAAATATGTTTCTATTTCAAATTGAAAGTGTCAAAGTTTCTTCAAAGAGATAAAATTATAACATATGTTGTTAAAATTGTAATCTATATCGTCAGAACACTGAAGAAGTATCTCACATTTTCGTGTTTTATGTCGATCGCATATTCTGAAATGGTATATATGTATCTATTAACTGTCTTCAAACGTTAACAGAACCAAATTAGCAAAAGGTGTATATGGTTACAAGTTTTTCTGAAAATCAAATTTTCAAGTGAAAAATTAAAGTTTGTTGCGTGACTAAAATAATGTTTCTGGTGATTGTCGGAAAATCTTACAATAATTTCCCCAGGAAAAAATAGACATCCTAACTTACGAGGGAGCATTCTCAAGTGTCACATTGCTTTTAAGTCGAACGTATGCGTATTATGTAGACCCTAACGATCTATGAATTCTCTGAAAAAATTTCATGCCGCTAACTTATTACTGCCGAGATACTACATTTTTACTGTATGTTTAAAAAAAAAGAGCCGTGGTCCCCCTCAGGAACACTGGAAAAACTGAATTTCGAATTTCGACTTGAAACTTTGCGTAGATATAGGCCTCGATGAGAATAGTTTATTGTGAAAGTTTCAGTTCTTTTCGTTGTTCCTATTCTAAGATACAGCTATCGTACAATTGCTGATATACACAAGCAGATCCGATGTTCTTATTTCAGACTAGGAGCAACCAAAAGATCTGAAACATTCACAATAAACTATTCTCATTGAGGCCTGTCTATATGCAAAGTTTCAGGTGAAAACTCAAAACTCACTTTTCCTGATGTTCCTGATGGGGAGGGTGTGGGTGGGTGTGGGTGTGGAGTGTGGGTGTGGGTGTGGGTAGGTGTTGGTGTGGTTCTTGACTACACCCTCACCCATACCCACACACCCACACCCCGGATGAAAGTGAATAGATATAAAAGGAGCAACCATCATGAAAAAACCATAACACTCGTACTATACATAAGCTCAGTCGTTCCCATGCTACTTTTTCAGGACTTTACAATCAGAATCAGTTACTGTTCGATATAGCTTTTGAATAACATATAGAAGAGTGAATATAATGGCACAGGCTGTTTGGGCAAGTGTTATCCGTTGAAAGTCTCGAATACGATAACATTTCAAATTCGATGTTCCATTTTGTTGGTCAGAATAACGTTGTTGTCGACGTCTATTGTAAATTGTAAGAAAACTAATATCAAAACCTATTCGATAATCAGTGTTTTTCAGAGCCCAACATTCATTGTCTTCTTTTTTTATTGACAGCAAATAAGGTTAGCATATGTGAATGACAAAGATCTGAAATAATTAAAACAATGGAAATCAAACGTCGTGCAACTTTAGCATGAGCCCATTGCTGATATTTTACTTGATAACATGATGGAGCATAACGATCAGTAGAGTCAAGTGTGATTAGAGCTTTTGATGTCAGATACGCTGAATATACTGCAAATCTACGCACGTGACATCATCAAAGAACTCGTATCGGAATATTATAACCACCTTTTAATAAACGAAATAATTGACCGAATAGAACTTGCATAATAGAAGCCCATGATGATACGAGATAATAATTACAACATGAATTTAAAATAAACTTTGGTCGAGTGAATATAATAATATCAAGCAAATGACCAATAAGACCAAAAATGATCAAAGGAGGAAAAGTAATTCGATAGATATTAGCAATGATCTTATTAAGACGAAGAACAATTTACCTTGAGTTGTTAGACATTTTCATAAATGAAATCAGGTTTTTTATTTTTTGAAACACGACTGAAAATGAGTGTTGAAGGCGTGAAGCGAGAAATTTGAATCTTTCCCGCCCCCTCCCCCTCCCACACACACAGACCGTGACACACATGCCGAACAATGGGTTTTAGAATCAGGGGAGATTGGGGATGTGAGCAGGCTTTTCATCGCACACCCACATTCAGCTATTGTAATAACTGAGGTCGAAGTGAAATACTTTTGGCTAGTAGCATATATTAATTCGAAAGCAAAAAGACAAACAACATTGGAGAATTTCTGAAAAAAACTAAGTTTTGTGTTATACAAGAGAATAAATAATCAAGTCTTTATGCTGGAGCGTGTGCAGAAACAGATCTTCTAGAATTTTCTCGCAATGGGACAATAAATTATGCCTCAATTCTCTAAATTCAATATCTCCGTATAGTAAACGCTTTTGAATGATCTTCAACCATGTTCACAACAATACAGAGATCATTTTGATAATGTAAACATGACTATTCGATACGTAACTATTTAAGATTGTGTACCCTACACTATGACACATGATAGCGTTATAGAATCACGAGCGTACTGCTGACATTTTGCAACATTCACTGCCACAAGATCGTCCTGCATATCAAAACTTGAGATAAAGTATAGAATCTGTAAAAAGTGTAAATAAAGTAACAAAAAATAATAAATTGAAACTGGAATCAATTCCATTGTGTTTAGGTACTATGTAGTTTATGATGGCCACTATGTCATCCACGAAATCTTCGCTTCAAATTATTTTTATTGATGTTCATTTTATCCAAATAGATCTAGGCCATTTGTATTCCTCGCTAGCAATAGTACTGTCGGAGCATTGCAGACGCATGGAGCGCGTAATAAATTCGGTAGAAGAATAGTCCACAGCACAAGAATAAAATCAATGATGACTAATAAGATCAAAATAATGGCAGTTCTGTTCGACATGTTGATAAAAGCTGCATGTCATCTTCTACAATCAATAAGCAGTGCATGAGTTGGAGAATATGAAATAAATAAAATCATAATGTTTATCACATCATGTAAACACTATCTACGCATAACCAAAGTCTAAGTTCTCCTGATAATAACTTGATAGAAGTTCATACTTACACGAAAGGCGGAATCTGTAGCGTATTTGGAAATTCAGCAAAATCACATTGAACTATTGGAGCGACGAGATCATATTTTGATGGTTGATCACAATTCTCGAGTAAGACATCGGCTATTTTTTCATATTTTGACATCTCTGTGATATCGATTGCACGCATTTTTGGACGACGAATCTTGTCGACGCACCGAACGCTAATTTTTAATAAAGTTTGATTGAAATAACATCTTTGAAATGCACTAGATGCACCATACACAACAAACATATCGACGTCGAAACGAACAATCGACTTACTAACAGTTCATTCTTAAATCTCAATAAGCATAACCGATATTAGTATATTTTGATCTGTGTAGAAGCATAACATCATGGTTACATACAGCAATTAAGTAGAAAATACTCATAACCAAGGTATTTTGTGGTTCAAATGGAATTCTTAAGATTTCAGGAGAAGTATAGACATTGATCACAAGAGCAAAATAAATTGATAAAATTAAATCGCGATGAAAATGAACAATTGAAAAAAATGAAATATTCTTTCATTACTATTATCAAATCTCTAACCGCAGGAAAATGCTATAGCTCTCTTGTACATTGAAATTGAAACGAAAAACTAAGTAACATACTCGTAGGTTGCTTCCGCTTGGATCGACTGCTATTTCAAAGACATTTTAATATTTATTTGACACTTCAATGAGATAGAAAAAGATCATCTTCAATTTTTTAAATAAATTCATGTGCACTGTCTCTGCAAATGATGAAAATTCGTTAGTTTCAATATCGATACAGAGTTTTCATTAAATTGTCAAGAACCATTTGAGAAACCGAGACATCAAAAATCAGCAAATTTTCATTTTAAGCACATTTGGTCGACTTTGTGCTATATTTGTAAAACTATTGAAGATTTGTCATTCTTTCATAGTGTATGCACACAGACTATGTGTGTAGATCCAACAGCTAAAAGAATTACATAATGGACAAAAATAAGCTCTTAGTAATTTCTTCGTCTAGAAAATTTCTAAATCTGTGCAGATTTATTCTTCAAAGAGAAATATTTTCATCTGATCTAAATAATGACTTTGAAATTTTGTGTTCAATTAGAAACGAAAATTGTTCCTTAGTTTGCAATTTTCTTCTCATGACTTTAACGATAATATTTCGAGTTTTGTTCATTTTATATGAAATCTAGTATGTATTCTGCATCTGAGATGAATAAACGTTCTAAGTAAAAAGTGAGCATTTATTGTAAAGAATCTCGTTGATATAAATTGACAACAAATATTGATCTGATAACATTAAATAATGTATGAATGTGATAATAAAAAGCCTAGTGTCTTTAGTTCTTCAGCTTAAATTCATCATAGTTATATGGGATTCACAGCAAATCCGTCAAATGGCACTGTATTATACCGATAACTTTCGTAACTATTTTAACAAAAAATAACAACAAATACTGAGGTGAGTATGATATCAATAATGGACACTGTTGAGATGCTTCTGACTATAATTGATTGTTTCTTTGATATTGAAATAAAGTGACCAATATTAATATTGAATACTAATATGATTTAATGTTTGCCATATTTTTTTACGAAGTAAATTGTAATTGAACACATTACTTACCGTCCAACTTGCTTGGTTGACTTCGATACCTTCACAACATATCCATGAACATAGTATTTAAGCAAGTAATTGAGTATAAAGTGGCAAATCCATACTATGAGATGTATTCTTTAATACTGAATCAAAAATTTACTTTGTTTCAAATGTTGATGGATCCACAAAAGTCATTTCGATCCATGCTTTATTACCTGTACACTGCTCGACAAAAGTTTAGGACCTTTTTTTCTCATCGTTTTCTCGAACGGTAAGCGATCGAGATCCGATTTAAAAGTTGACATATATAGTATGAATGAGGGGCTATAAGATGCACTATGGGAGATGACTAGATCTTTTCGCCCCGATTTTTTGAAATCAACTAAAGATTTTGACAGGAAGAAGCATTGTTTTTCATTTTCAATATTTCGCTTTTCCTAAGCAAGAGATTTTCGCCAAAAAAATGCAAACCTCAGTAGGTCGATAGGGAATTTTACAGGCTATCCATTGCTAAAATTACTTCCAACTTTTGACCGTATCTTCGCTCCCTAAAACCTATTTCACTCAAAGCCGCTGCAAAGCCCCAGACAAGACCGGTTTACTCCGTCAAACTAAATTCTATCCAAATGTGTTATATACCAAAGGAAAGAGTGTAAAAAATTACATTAGATGATGTATTTGAATTTTGTCAGTAATGATGTTTTCTCGGATTTTTTACATAGGAGAAAGTTTTGGAAAAACTGATCACCTTCGGTTTTTCGAAAATTTCGCCATGAAAGCCAATTTTTTCCATTTTTGAACTAGTCAGCTAGATAGAGCACAAAATTCTGTACAAGAATATGTCTTTCTTGTTTCAGTTCATCATCGTATCTCCGAGATTCTGAAACAGCAACAATTTTTTTACTTCGCAAGATGTCGCTTTGTCTCAGCGTATTTCACTCCCGAAAGGATTTTGCTTATAACAACGCGTAGAAATGGTCTAAAAAGTCGAAGAACGTCTTGTTTTTCTTAGAATTAAACGGGCTACAAGTGTTTAAAACAAAAACAAAATGAGCGCGAGAGCAGAGTTATATGGAGAGGATATTTTCTTGTTAACGCAGCAAAGTTTTTTAGAATCTTTTTTTCTGTTGCTTTCAGTTTCATTTCGCTTTTATTATGTTTAAAAAAAAAAGGTAACAAAAAAAGAATCTCCTATAATAATTAGAGAAACTTGCAAAATCTACACCCCACCCACATCACTCTTTCTTTTTCACCTCTAAATCGTCGTTCTGTCATGCACTCTATTCTCTGGCGCAATTATAAAACATTGACCTTAGTGAATGTTGACACTCTTTTTACTTTTACATTGCGTAGCAATCGCATGCAGCCTTCGAGTGGCAACAACAAAAATTAAGCAGAAGGAAAATACAAGCTCAATTTATTCTCCAGTTCAGTGTATTTTGCCTTGAAATCAATTATTTTGTAATTAATTAAGGACATTCATCGATCTTTTCTGAAAATTGTTTTACAGATCAAAACGTAAATCTTACTGTTCAACTAGTATTATGTTGTCGATTTGTGCAATTCATAATGTATTCCGTAGTAAAAGCAATTCTAACTTTCGATTCTCCAACATAAACATGGTTTGTAACAGAACAAAAAAATCCTTCAAACCTTCTGTCTCTGTCAAAAAAGAGTTATTCTGTTTCGCGGACTGTGTCATTTATTGTCAACCATAATAACGCTTCATCATTTTTTATCGTTCTTCGTTCTTCACTAACGTATATCGATGTTGATGTCTCATATTGTTTTTCATAACAAAATATTCAATAGTGAAAAAAAGGTGGTCTCCTTTAATAACAAGAGAAAAAGTACGAACAATGCAGAGAGAAAAATCTAGACAGGACGTAGATGCTCTATCAAAGGATGCCCACTGTTCATTCATTTATTAGCATTTTTTCAATCAATTCAACTTGATAGCATCCATGCTAAACATGAGCAAGATACAATCAGCAACTGAAAAATCTGGTGGCACAGAAAAAACAGAGCAAGCATCTGTTTCCTCAAAAGGTGTAGTTAGACAGCGATAAATCAACACTCAAATGGTACAAAATGTTCTCCTGATCTGGTTGGATAACAACATTGATGAAGAGAATGTTGACTGCCAAAATACCATCACTTAACTACGACGTATTGTCAACATCATAAATACGTTCACTGATGCTGATCAATGTATCGATTTTCTTACAGACATCTACAACGAAAACGTTTTCATGATAATTTCTGGTACATTATGCCACAATACTGTTCCTTTAATTTATGACATCGCACAAATTGATGCTATCTTCATTTTTTTCCGAAAACAAAACAATATGTGAACAATGGACAAAAGAATGGTTCAAGATAAACGGTGTACTCGCTGAAATCTCACTGACCTGTAACGCTCTCGAGCGAGCAGCGCAACAATATGAACGCCAATGGGCTTCTTTATCAGTGATCTTTATCGTCACATTGAACAACTTCATTCAGAACAATTTCATGAAAATTATCCCGAAAAAATATGGACGGTTTATCGTGGGCAAGGCTTGCCCAGACGAGACTTTGATCAACTGAACATTACCAAAGGTGGTCTTCTGTCATTTAACAACTTTTTATCGACCAGCAAAGATCGTAATGTCTTTCTATTCTTTGCTGAAAGCAACCAGAACAATCCCGATTTAGTCAGAGTTTTCTTTGTTATGACGATTGATCATTCTAAATCGACCACCCCATTCGCCTCAATTAATGATATCAGCTATTTTTCTGAAGAAAATGAAGTTCTTTTTTTCCATGCACACAGTGCTTCGCACCTGTGATATTAAACCAACGGGTGAAAATCCTCGCCTCTTTCAAGTGGATTTGATATTGATTGATGACAACGACAAAGATCTTCGTATGCTAACTGATCTCATATGAGAAGAAACTCAAGAATCAAGAGGATGGTTTCGATTGGGTCTATTATTACTTAAAATGAGTCAGTCGGAGAAGGCTCAACAAGTTTATGAAGTTCTGCTTGCACAAACAACTGATGAAAGTGAAAAATCACCTATTTACGGTCAATTTGGATGCGTCAAATTTGATCAAGCGGAATATAAAGAGGCAATAACATTCTGTGAACAATCACTTGAAATCAACAAAAAGACTTAGCCTTCAAATCATCCTAATTTGGCTGTATCCTACAACAACATCGGTATAGTGTATAACAACATGGGTGAATATTCGAATGCGCTTTCGTATTGCAAAAAGTCCCTTGAAATTCAACAACAATCGCTTCCTCCAAATCATCCTCATTTGGCTGGTTCCTATAATAACATCGCTGTGGCGTATGAGAATATGAGCGAATACTCGCAAGCACGTTCATATTATAAACGTGCTGTAAATATTACACAACGTTCATTACCACCAAATCATCATGATCTCCCAAGGTACAAAAACAACCTGGACTCAGTAAAATAAAGAAATTGTAATTAAATAGTATTTGGTTTTTTTTTCGAACAAGAAAATAAAATAACCGAAAAGAAATTGTATTATAATGAGGGTGTGAGTGTGGATGTGAATGGAGAGAAGATCCAGTCCCAGCCGCAACCTTCACCCCACACCCACGCCCTCAACTTAGATCATAGGTTGTTTACTTCTATTTGATTGTTAAGAATCTTTTTACAACAGTTGTGATCTGTTAACTATCAGTAATCGAGTCATCGAATAGAGATGCACTGAAATGTCACCTGACTAGTTACTGTCTATTTTTGAATGCTTCTTACCATTTTAAATCATACAGAAATAAATATCGATCTGTGTGCTCCGTATGAAATGAAGTCATCGAACCAGTATGAGTTTTGTTTCTTCTTTTTCTTCTCTTATCGTCTTCTCTTGTGGTGCATGTTTTATTACGGCTATTTGAAGTCCTTCTTATGAAGTGCTTATTTGATAAGAGTTTTAGAAAAATGCAAAAAGAGGAGGCAAACAAACAGGCAGCAACAGAATATAAAGGTTTAACATGCTGTAAAAGTAAAATACTGCTCGTTCGAAAAAAAAGCTAACGGTGCAAGGTGAAAAAAAAAGTTATCAGTCACAACATATTATTAGCTTATCTCAGAACATTTCAGCTTCAATTACTTGGCCATAGTGAGTAAATTATTAAGAAAGTTCGAAATGCAAAAGAAATTATTTTGAATGTTATACACTTACCGCCAAGAGGCTACGAATATTGGAATCGATTGAAACAGATATAACATTGAAACCTATGACTGACTTTATTTCGGTCGATCTATTTTTCAATGTATGTCAGTTATCAGTTGCATCCATTCAGTTTTTCGCAGCTATTTCATATTTCTTTGATCTTTTGATTCATCTCAGTTCTATAATGTTGTTTATGTGTCACATGATTTTTTCTGCCTCTTTTTTTTCGCCTACTTTATTCAGCAATTTCAGTTATCGAAGAGACAAGAAACGAAAACGTGTATAATATTATTTCGAATTTATTGATACTACGCATAAAAAAGGACACGAACACAATAGTAAATTTTGGGTGTAGGTAAGAGTAATAGCGGAAATGCTACTGGTCGCAAACCAATCTGCACAGATGAAGGTCAGAACCTGTCTGTCAGAGATCGATACGTGACAATAAAGACGAAAAGCTTCCAATAATATCGAGATCCACAACAATGAGGACAGAAGCTTCGATTTACTTACTGATTTAACAGAGTTAGATGAACAGCCTTCACCAGTAATAGAAGTGTGGAACGTCAAGAGCAAGCCACTTTGAGCCACGGAGCGATTCGTCAAACTGTTGACAAAACAAATTCGTTCTGAACAACTATGAGCGAACCTCAGATAGAGATACATTAGGCTAAATGATTGGGATTAAAAGTTAGTGTGAAGTGCTTGGGCCCTTCCATCAATTTGTCAGAACGGTGCTGAAAACGTCAGGATCATCGAGCAATTTATCAAGATCTCAACGAAAAGTTTCAAGTGACACAGAAAATAATAAGAATAACATCAATATAATTAAACCCACATAGGGATACATAAGATGACTCCGTGAAAATACTCAGCTCATCTATCAGTGTATCTAGGTCAGTGCAAATGGCATTAGACACCGTGATATTGCACATCTGAAGAAAGTCAAGAAGCTGCAAGCGACTCATCCCCATTAGACTGAGTGCGCATGAAGATTATCATATTACACTGAATTCACACATCCGGCAATATTCTAGAAGGCATCACGAAAATTGTCAAGCTAGCCATCAGTATATCTCCGTAACATTGAAAATTTTTCAGCAACAGAAAAACGTGTTGCCAAGGTAAAAGAACCTTGGAGAACCTATCTGTGTCTTGAAGTAGTTCCAGTAACCTTCAAACTATCAACGGATCTAATTTAGAGGCACTAGGAACTTTTGAAACAAAGATAAATGCCTGAGTGAAGTCGCAAAAATCTACAACATATCCACTGAACGAGTTTGGGCAACAGAAAAAAAACATTACAATCACAGAGAAATTGGTGAAGGGAAGATTAAAAAGCTTACGAACCGCACCATATGTAAAAGTGTCAGCAAAAGGCTTCGGACTTCAAGAAATGCCTGTGAATGATGATGAAAACTTCACGATCACAGAAGAAGTTCTGAAAGAAAGAGCAAAAAGCTTTAAAGGCCCACTATTTATGGGTGTAATAGTAAAACCTTCAGCATTCGTGGAATGTCTATAAGTAAGAGCGACAGCTATTTTAGCACACAGAAATGTTTTAGAAACGATGCAGTTATTCCAGAGAACCGATCAATGTGTTATGTGCTTGAGAAAAATTTCACAATGGTGACTTACATCTCTAGGAGACAGGAAATGGTTTTCGATGTCAGAGGAACTGTTGAGAGGAAAAGCAAAAAGCTTCAAAAGTCAGCTCTATCTCGAAGCAGCTACACAAAACTTCAGAGTATCAACCAAGGCCTTCGAGTGATCTCTGAAAACACCGCGAAGAGAAACAGCAAAAATTTCTGGCAACTGATCAAGGCGTCAACGACTCAGAAAAGCTTCAGAGTTCTGATCCATCTACTGGATGACCGTGGAAGCTTTCGCATCTCAAATAAATAAGTTAAAAGAAATGCAATTAGCCTCAGAAGGATGGCTTTAGCTGTCTTATGGACATATGCGCAAAGAAAAGCCTTCATTCGTATACACAGGCACACTCAAATCAACTCATTTGTATCCCACATACTCACACGTCAAGACGCTACACCCAACAGATTCCATGCCACCACTATCGCACTAACACATCTAACCCTATATCCTCCGACACAGAAACATGCAATGCTCATACCCACACCTTCTTGTCAGTGTCATAAACAAACTATTAGAAAAAAAAAGAAATGATTCATTTTTCTATTATTATATAGAAAGAAAAAGTACTAGTAACAAAAATTTTTTTAAATAATGTTATATAGAACAACAAGTCAAAAGTATTTTAATCAATTACTTCGAAATCGTAGCAATCGTACTTTCATCAATGTTCAACAGAAAATAAAAAACATACGTGATGAATCGTTTTTGTGATATCGAGGTTTCGTTTAAAAAACTTTCATCTATTTATGGTTATCATGCTGAAAAACTTGTTTCAATTGAAAAAGCACTAAAACCTATTGAACCTCATATTGATGAACTACCTCGTTTTATAAACATAGCTAAACGACGTTGTCATTTTCCGTCAGAACATGGACTAACATATGATCAATCAGCTGCAGTTTATATCTATACAATGGAATTGGGTGATACTACTTTATATCGTGTATTGAATAAAGCATTACGATCCGAAAATCGGCAAGCACTAAAAATATGGTTTCCATACTTAAAATTATTTGATACAGCATTGGATAAGTTACCTACTGTTAAAGAGATGGTATGGAGAGGTGTACCTCTTGATATTGGCAAGCACTTCACCAAAAACAAAATTGTGACGTGGTGGAGTATTAATTCATGTTCATCATCAGTCAAAATTATTGAAAGTTTCATTGACAACAGTAAAAATGCAACTCTGTTTTTAATTGAAGCTGTTAAAGGAAAAAGAATTTCTGGCTATACAGAATACAAAAATGAAGATGAAGTCATTTTACGAATGGGTTCACAATTTCGCGTAAAGAGCGATGTTTTCAAGCAATCGAATGGTTCAGTTCTAGTACATTTAGTTGAACTTGATGAGAACAACGATCAACCATTAGCATCAGCTATGAATGAAATGCAACTAGCTCCAAAGCCATCAAATACTTCAGGTAAGCTATTTATAATTACTCTCAATGAAATAACATTTTGCATGGCACATATGTGTAAAATAATCAAAAAATATCTGAATACTGATTAATGTATATAGGATAAAGAAAAAAATCAGGTACTTGTATACAATAATTTAGTCAGTAAAGAGAAAGGTCTAATAAAGAAATTTTGATGAATACAAAAGAATATTTGCAAACTCATTTGGATTTTACTCATATCTTCTGGTAATTTTTCAAGCACTGCAACGCATTTAGACGTAACGCCTTTATTCCAACTATTTGTGTGTACATGAGCACACCTGATGTGATAACTATCGTTTATAGAGTATTCTGATTTCTTAAGGGAGCGCTTCAAAATATATTCCGGTCGGTCAGTCGTCGTTCCTTCATTCCTTTATTCCACCGTTCCGCTATTCCACTATTCCTATATTCCTTCCCCATTCCACCACTATTTCTCTGTTCCCTTCTTCCCCAATTCCTTCATTTATCTATTCTTTTATTTATTCTTTTCTCTATATCTCTATTACAGAACATTTGATAATGTACCGCCTTCTCGTTCAAAAGTGAACTTTTTNTGGGTGTGGGTGTGGGGTGGGGGTGTGGCTGGGTGTGGGTGTGGATGCGTGTGTCGGTGAATCGAGTAGCCACACCCCACCCCCACCCACACCCACACCCTTTCATTACATATTATTTATAATTCTTTGATAATTGTTGTTAAATTTTTGTTGTAATATTGTTCAAATTTTGTTTGCTGTGCTCTGTTTAATATTTCATAATATTATCAATATTGTTTATTTTTTCTTCGGATCACATATTCTCTCTAATTTATACTTTGCGAGTAAGTGTCTGAGCGAGCAAATGTCCGCGCGCAACTGTCCATGCGAGCAACTGTCATAGACCCATTTTAGGATTTAATCGTAATCTACATCCAATTTCATCGACAGATTTTAAATTTCACAATTCAAAACATTATAACAGCTGAACGAATGCATATTTTTATGTCGAATTTTAAATCTGTCGATGAAATTGGATGTAGATTACGATTAAATCCTAAAATACAAAGTACTACAAAAAGTTAAAACAATCGATCCGAGGGGCCAAGAAAAATAATTTTGTTTTTCGTAAACCTCGATCGAAAATTTTTGTTTTGATAAAAAAATTCATCATTTGGGTCCAATATCATCCTCAATAAGTTTCATCTGGATCCCATGCTCCGAAGTTGAGATTTAGCATACCTAAAAATCTTGGATAAAATGCTGAATCTCAATAATTTATTTGAGCAAGTCCCCAAAAACCACATATCAATGCAACACGAGAGTGAAAGCATACTTATCATGACACATTATGTGAATGCCCTGAATGAACCCATCTAAAGGCGACTATAAGTTTCACAGTAAAATTTGACCCCAGAACAGGACATATGTAGGTTTGTAGAGAAAGAGTTTCTCTATTCAGTGGTATACTTATTATGAAACTCTGTTGCGTACCATGAAAGAAAAGTAAATTAAAAAGGATAGATTTGACAGTTTTTAGGGTATTCCTTCTGTACCAAAATCAATATAGCACAGAAACAAGCCAGAACCTACTCTAATCATTAGCTTATCGTTCGACTGCCCGCACTGTTTATTTTTTACATTCTATATAACTCTTTTTGATATGCAAGTTATGATGTAAATTATAATAATTTGAAAAAGAAATTCCATATATTCTTCGTCGTTATAACAACATTTATCGGCATATATGAATATCATTATAGGAATACAAGAGTATGTATATAATAAAAAAAGAAAACTTTTCTTGAACATTCTAGACCTGTATGGCTTTTTCGAGGATATTACGAACTTATTATCTAATATTCAAAGTAACATAAAAAATAGAGAAGAATGTTTCCGGACCAGCTTGTAAAAATCCATGCAGTTCTAGAATATTGGCAAGAATTATTTCTATGTTTATACATGTAATTCATATATTTCTTGTATGGTATCTATATCTAGCAATGATTTAGAATAAATTGAGAGCTCATCCACTACGCCTGCCTTACTCGAGCGTTATACTTCAGACAACCGTTCTGAACTATCTGCGTTTCTTTTCATTCAAAAAGCGTCTTATCAATGGGTCTAGGACAGTTGCTCGCATGGACAGTTGCGCGCGGACATTTGCTCGCTCGGACACTTACTCGCAAAGTATAAATTAGAGAGAATATGTGATCCGAAGAAAAAATAAACAATATTGATAATATTATGGAACATTAAACAGAGCACAGCAAACAAAATTTGAACAATATTACAACAAAAATTTAACAACAATTATCAAAGAATTATAAATCATATGTAAAGAAAAGGTGTGGGTGTGGGTGTGGGGTGTGGGTGAGGTGTGGCTACTCAATTCACCGACACACGCATCCTCACCCACGCCCTGAAAGAAATATCATAACAATTATGCCAATTTGTTTCTGTCGATGATCATTCTTCAATCAAATATTAATTTGCTTTATTAGTGTCTGTTTCGTTATTTTATTCACATTTCTTGTAATAGCTTGTACAGCGAGTAAGTGTCCGAGTGAGCAGCTGTCCTAACGATCAAATGTTCTAACGAGCAATAGTCCTAGCGCGTAAGTGTCCGAGCGAGCAAATGTCCGCGCGCAACTGTCCATGGGAGCAACTGTCCGTTTCCCTTATCAATATGTGACAGGAACGATTTTAAAATTATCATACCTTGTAAAATATTTATAAGTTTGATACAAGCTCTTACAGGACCATTCTACATATCATTTTGTAGAGTAAAAATTCTCTACAATTCTTAGTATTTGAAATGTATTTCAGAATGCCAATTGTGAAACTGTAAATATTGTTTTTCGTAGCATGACGAAGAATATGCGGAATTTCTTTTTCAAATTATTATATTTTACATCATAACTTGCATATCAACAAGAGTTACATGGAATGTGAAAGATAAACAGTGTGGGCGGTCGAACGATAAGCTAATGATTGGAGTAGGTTCTGACTTGTTTGTGTGCTATATTGATTTTGGTACAGAAGGAATACCATAAAAACTGTCAAATCTCTCCTTTTTAGTTTACTTCTCTTTCATGGTGCGCAACAGAATTTCATAATAAGTATACCATTGAATAGAGAAACTCTTTCTCTACAAACCTACATATGTCACGTTCCGGGGTCAAATCCTTATAGTCGCCTTTGTAAAATAATAAATACAATTTAATATTGAATTATAAATTTTAAACAAAAAATTATTTTTTATTTGTATAGAATGAGATCTATCTTGCTTTTATTATTTGTAAAAAAAATTAGCACCATAATGAAATAAATATAACATCAAACACCATATAACAATAATGGAAAAACAAATTAAACAAAAATAAATTTATGTGTTTTAGATAAGTTTATAGCTAATGTTAGCATTTTAAGAACATTTGTATTTGTATCAAATGTCCATTTATCTCTTGATAAATCTTGTCCATTCAAAATAATTCTTGTTGGTTGTTGTGTCATACCAAATATAGAAATTTCTTCTAATTTATTATCCATATCTGGATATTTAAATGTCCATGGTTCAATTGTTAAACGTTGTGCATCATAATTAAATATAAAATAATTATAATGTGATGTTTCATATGTATTAATTGATTCTCCATCATCCCAAAACAAATCACCTTGTGCTCTTTGGTTTTTATCAAGAGCAATATATAAATAAAATGGTTTTCTACGTGATAAAACAGTATTCATAGCTGACTGTTGATGAGGTATAATTGAACCACCACGTAAATATAATGGAAGATAATCTCTTGGTGCTTGGTCAGTTATTGTACCAAGTGTTTTTATTTCAATACCTGTATAATAATTAAACCATCGTTCATTTATTGGTAAATAAACATCTTTTGTTGTATGACCTTGATAAATAACTGGAGCTATTAATAAATATGAACCCCATAAAAATTGTTCATCTAATGACCAACATGATGGATCAGTTGAAAATTCATGTGCCATTGAACGAACAATAGTTCCACCCGAAATATGTGCACGATGAAAAAGTGTATATAAGTATGGAATTAATGTATAACGTGTTTCAACAACACGACGATTTGATTGAACAATAGCTGGTGGAAAATTTCCAGGATCTTGATGAGCATATCTTAAACCATTATGATTACGAAAGAATGGATTAAATGCACCTAATTGCATCCAACGTTGACACATTTCTTCAGTTGTATTACCTTCAAAACCACAAATATCAGCACCAACATATGGTATACCAAATAAATTAAATTCAAGCATTCCAATAATATTATATTTTAAATGTGACCATGCTGCTGTATTATCACCTAACCAATGACCAGCATATGAACCTGATGTTGGAAATGTTGAACGACTTATAACTAATGAACGTTTATTTTCTGTTGCACGAGCTGCTGGTAATGTTGCAACTGTTTCTGACCATCCATATAAATTATGTACATCATATTGTTTATAAATTTTTCCTCGACCATCACTTTGTTCACCAATCATACAAAGAGTTTTGTCTGATAAATATTCACCATATATAGCAGTTTTATATCGTGGAGATTCTAAAGGATCATCAAGTGGACAATGAAGATTCCATGGTGTAGAATGAGGCCAATTCCATGGTTGTAATTTATTTGTATCAAAATTGGCTGGTTCACTAAAATTGATAAGTGAAAACAAAAATAATGAATTAACGATAAAAAAAATATGTGCTGCTTTTTTTTACTTCATATCAATCCATAAACCATCAAATTTAAGTTTATTATAATAATTCAATACTTGATTTTTCCACCATTCTTTAGCTGGAGGATAGAAATAATCGGGAAATACTGTCTTACCTAAAATAAATAAAATAATAATCAGATATTTTTCGATATTGTATTATGTATAGATCGATATTTCTTTTACAACAATATGATATCAAATTATTAATTATTGGACAATATATTGATATCTAACAAGACTTTAATTTATATATTTATAAAAGTGTACATGTTCTTATCTTCATAGAATAAATGAGCGTCACAAGAATAATTTTTTATCTGAATTTAACAAAAATATCTTGATAT